GCAATCGCATGAAATCAAATGCAAATGTCGGCGATATGGATGTTATATATGTCCATACAATAGCTTCTGTAAATCCCATTTGAAGTGTCGCCGAGGATTTTCGCAAGAAATCGAAAAAAATGTACATGAAGCAGCGTGTAATTGACGCCAATACCAGTGCTATATATGCAAAGTTTTTTTGACGAACATGAGCCTTTCAAATGCACATCGAACTCCTCACACCGGCGAGAAGCCATTTGCATGCCAAGTGTGTGCTGCCCGATTAGCAAAGAAAGGCAATGCCAACCAACACATGAAGAATGTTCACGGTCAAAAGCGATAAGAACTGCCACAATATACATGTATTTCAATATGGAATCAATAAATATAATGAATTTTTTCATTCTTTTCATTTGGAATTGTATTTTCCTCCAGTATTTTCCAATAAATATTCATAGGCGCAGAAATGAAAGAATCTTTAATTATCTTCTTATATTCATTTTAAATGTGAAAACTTCTTTTATAAAATATTCATCCCAAATTATTGACAAAAGGAGTTATTGAGTTATTCTGCAGATATTTTCTGTGTAAGCCAAAATACAACAACAAATGAGACAGAGAATGACAAAGAAAGAAAACTGTCTCGACAGTTTCTTCAGTCTCCTTATAATTCTACGAATCTATCGTCCGAAAAAAAAACTTTTTAAGAATTGTCAATTCTCCTACGCTGTATTAGAGGCTTTAAGGCCTAAGTACACATCTCTTGGAATTAGCTCACAATCAATATGGTGTTAACCATTGTCCAACACATATATTTACTTAATGAGTTTTCTTCCAAACACAGACACCTGTGAGCCATTATATATCCAAAGCATACATAATTAGCTAGACCTGTATCAAGTAGGGCTGGTCATTTTTGATCATCTCTTTTTTTCCAATGCCATAATTTGAATGGAATCTTTAATTTTGTAAAGTGTCTATGCGACCATAATTTGAGTTATTAAGAAGAAATTATAGTTCAAATTATGGCATTGAACCTTTCTTTAAAACTGATTAAAAATGCCCAGCCCTAATATCGAGTCAAGTAGTCCATTTGGTGCATTTGACACACAAATGTCACTTGACCCGATATTTTCAACCAGTTGACATTCATCTAAAAGAGAACCGGTTCGTTATTTAACTTCGTTTGTTATATTCGATATATTTTGGTGCATAATTTGCGATGCATTAAGAATTCAAGTGAACCTTTAGACTTTTAAGAACAATTGTCAGCAAAATAGTTTTAAATCGAACAGAAATCGGTTTGGTGTGAGTTATTAATTTAAAAAAAGGTGTAACATAGCTTGAAAGAGTGCTTTCTGAAAAATTCACACCAAAATCCTTTTATTTTCGATGGCTGATATCGTGGAAACGTCTAAAAGCTAATCTTTTAATTCTTTTTACTTCGAAAAAATGTTTTTCATTAATTTTGAGTTAAAAAATGTATTTTATATTTGAAGTCTAATTAAAATTCACAGAAAGGGCGTTGCTTATCGGAAACATGGACATCGTACCCACTCAAATTTCTGGAAAAACCATTCTAAATATTCTCAACAATGACTGTATCCGGGCGATTTTGCTTCGAATGACCAACTTGGAAGACTTTTTGAGCGTGGCTGAAGTGTGCGTTCGATTCCAAGAAAATGCAGTCAATTGTTTCCGTTCAATGTTCACCGAGGTGTCGATCAATTGTAATATCCGCCATGAACGTACCGAAAGTCTCCTTTACAATTTCGGACATTTGATTGAGAAAATTGAATTGAAATCAACGGGAGACCGACAACGTGATGACAAACTACTTTATTTGATTTCCACATTTGGTCGCCAAACATTAAAATGTTTGGTAATTTCAATTCCAAATCAAAGAACTAATAATTTGGATATGAACAATCCACAAGTGGTTGAGCTACATCAATTTGAAGCGGTACAAGAGTTGGAATTGGATGGAGCACGGCCATCATTCATTCGATTCGATTCGCCGGTGAAGGAATTAACCATTCGAAATATACAGCTGTCCGATGTTGAAATACCTTGGTTTGTGCGTCCATTTCCACAGTTGGAATGTGTTTGGTTTACTTCAGTTGAAAATATAACACAAAAAACGTTAGTCAATTTTTTGTCACTGAATCCACAACTGGCACGGCTAATAATGCGTAATTGTCATCAATTGCCATCATTTGCGCTCGAAATTATTGCTTGTTTCTCACCAAATCTCGAGTATTTAAATTTGTGGGGTTGTTGTTTGTCACCATCGCCCCCAGAAATGCACAGCTTAACTAAGAAACAGATTATCACACCGATATTGGGTAAATTACGAAAATTGAGGTCTTTGGACATGAGACATATCTATTATGGATTATCAGTGGAAGAATTGATTAATATGATTGTCGAAAATAATTCACCGATTGAAATGTTTGCGATTATACCGGTGAATTCGCATACAAGCAGAATCACGAATATGCTGACATTGAAAACACTGACACACATCATATTTGATGGTGACATTTCGGAGAGATTGCTCAGAAATTTGTTGAAGACCCAAACGGCTTTGGAAAAAGTTAGTTTTGAATTACAATCACAACCATTTGCAATCAATAATCTTCCGTCGCATATTTCGTTTATGTTGAAACATTCAAGCAATTTAACCGAAATCAAATATTATCTGCGTGGAATGGACTTTAATTTGAAAGTTTATGAATCGATTTTGGCATTGGTAAAAAATCGAGCTCATATTGTAATTGTAAATGTGGACGGCACCAACGATGTTCCCAAACATATTTTGAAGGCCAATGAGGATTGGATCGATTTTTATTGATTAATCGTTTGACATAACAATTAGCATGACTAATTATTACCGACATTTTTCAAACACACTATTAACTTCAAAAACAACATAAACATAGATTTTAGTTCTTCGCACATAAATACATGGCCTGGAAATGCCTATGTAATTTACATATAAACGAGTGAGACTCAAAAATGTTCTTCTTTTTCCATCAAATATACCAGTGGCGCCACCAATTTTACATATAAGCGCATACAAAATTTTCAATATGGCTGCGCCCATGAGAGAGAAAATTTCGTCTCATTCATTTCCGCCCCATGCATAAATACATCATTTCATCGGCAATATCCAATTCACATCTATAAGCAGACATTTCAAATCATCTAATATACTAGTATAAAAACATGTCTCCGTTGCAGAGCTGTTATAGGCACCATGGAGGTGTGGGCCATTTTCTTAGAAAGTACTGCTTTATCTTGTATTCAGGCGTGGCCCTTGAAAAATTATATTATTATTAGTATACGGTGTATCAATCATTTTAGTCGTTTTTTTACATGTTTCTGTATGGAGGAGCTTCTTTTTGAAAAATTAACACCAAAATGTCAGAAACAGAAAAAATTGTGTGTGTACGAAAATGCGTGTTTTTAAAATTTGGCGTGTTCAAACAAATTTTACGGATGGCGGTTATTTCTAAAGAATTTAAATTTGAAGAAATGAAAAATGAAATAAAATATTTTTTAATCAACAATTTTGTAACTTTTATAACTGAAACAAATAAATAAATTGACCAATAATTAATTGCATTTTCTTATTTCATGTCGTAAAACTGATAAAATTTAACAACGAGAGATATTACTAAAGGACAATCTGGTTGCAAATCAAGAATTTATTCAAAAGTTTCCAATATGTAAAACAAATTGACTGACAAAATTGCGTATTGAAACAAACACACGGGAAAAAACAATTGAAAACAAGTAAAACTAAATATTCGGAAAAGGACGGAATTAGTTTTAGTAGCATTTGGACTGGTCTCATATAGTTGTGTTAAAAAAAACTCGACTTTGAAATGAACCGGCTAGAATATGCGTGACCTCAAGAAATTTGTCAAAATAAAACTGCAACGTGCCCATATATTTTCTTATATGAACAGATTGCTCTTTTACTTTAACAAATTTCTTGAGCTCACGAATATTCTAACTAATTCAAATGTGAGTCTACGAAAGTGAAATAATTCAGTACAAATTTGGAGACATCATGCACTGGCTTTTTCAACTTTTTAAGATGAGTTCAAGTCGAGTTTGTAATCTTTTCCAATCATATATCGAGCGTCAACTCTATTTTAGCCGTGTGTGTGTGTTTAAATTCTCTGAATCACAAATTTAAATATGGCGTATGTTCTTTGGATAATTCCTTCTCAGATGCATCCTGTCTTCTACACGAGGTTGTTCAAACTTGGGAACGACTACATAATTATAGCCAACATCATAATCCTTTGGAATGAGAATATTAATGTTGCACCAAATTTTATCACCTGGAATTTAAAAAAAAATATATCATCATTTATTTTTGGGTCTACGAGTAGTCATAACCGCGACGTTTGAATTTCCTCTTGAATTTTACAATGAATAAATATTCGACTAAGTATGTGTACCTTCTTTATACACCGGATTTCTCCCTTTTACTTTTTTAGCTGAACGAAAACCAAGTAAGACATCGCCGACTTGAACATCGTACTTATTCTCAAGTTGAACATAAATACTTTCCTCATCGCCATTTACTGATACGCGCTTGACTTTTACTTCAATCCATATGTTGGCTTGAAGGTTTTTAGCGGAGATCCGCGGGTCGGGATCGTATTCAAGAACATCGACAACATTGTTCCCTGCACCAGCTGAAATACATTTTTTTTTAAATTTTAATCAAGTGGTAAAAAGTTTTGACTCAAAACGAATCGAAAGTAAGTTTCACGCAGTGTGTATTTATTTGTAAGGTGTATAACTTTTCAGCACCAGTTTCTACAAATGAAGTTCACGATTACGTTAATCTTACCTATGGCCACGTAAAAACTTATTGCAAAAATGGTTGCAAGCAAATTCATTGTAGTCAAGGCGATCTATTCAAATTTCACGTTCTAAGTGTAAGTCAATCCAAATACGTCTTATATAGAGGAAAAATCGTTTCGTAAAATGCATGTTATTTATCATTGTCTCTACAAAAATGCTGGTTTGAAAATAATTTTTTCAAATATGTAACAAAAAAGTCAGTTGAATTTGATCCGCAATTGTCTATTGTTCCTGTTTTTTTTTACATTTTTGACAAATGTCAGAAATGCGTCAAATTTTATTCAAAGAGACGCGCAGAAAATAAACAAATAAATGCTACTTCAATTGAGACTGTAAACAAATTCCCCTCTTTTGAAAAAAAAATCCCAAATTCTCGAAAAGACGTGACTTTAACACATTATTCAACTTGAATTGCCGCCATTCAGGCGTTTATTCAAATGAACAGCTTTCAATTCAAATTACCCATATTGTGTTCAATTGAAGAAAACTTGTTTCAATTTAGTTGTAAAATTGCTTTTTAATTATTCAAAACAAACAAAATCTAAATATGTATCAAATCTAGCATTACCAGTATTTATAAAAAGTCCATTTTTCTTGCAAAATCAATCATTGATCTCGAATTTTAGTGAGTAAATCATCTGAAATTAAGGCAATATTATCATAGCCATAAAATCCAACCTTTTTCCCAGCAATCCGACATCCAAAATCGATGGAGTCTTGTAGTGGAATGCCATTACTTAATGCGTAAAGAGTTGATGCCACAAAAGTATCGCCGGCTCCAAGCGTATCAACCACTTTAGCAGGAGGTCGTGCCATTGCAGAAAAATGCGTATCACTTTCATTGTCAACGGCTATTGCACCTTCAATTCCCCATGGAACCACCAATTTAGCCCTTGAATTAAGAAAGTATCACTTGAAAAATTAACTGAACTGGAGATATCAGCTCTTCGATTCTTTTTGTCGAAAAATATACTTACTCTTTCTTAACATATTTCCTGAGATTGTGAATGGCCACTTCTTTGCTCATCCAACCCATTATTTCGGCGAAATCTTTACTGAGGTACACATAATCGGCGTCTGCTACTAGCGGTAAATTTTTTTCCGTTCGATTTTCTAATTCAACTGAGATGGTAATTCGTTGATCTGGGTGTTCAGCATTCCATTGCACTATCGAATCAATCATTCTTTTTGTTTCGTGTACATTTCGTGCCTGTAAGTCAATTTGTTGTTTCAATCATTTCGGCCTAATATTTCATTTTTAAAATAAACGATTCTCCAGTGTACATACTACATAGTTCAGTACTTCTTTCAATTTTTAATCAAAGTATTATTAAAGTGCAAGACCTCGTTTATATCTTACATAAGAAAACGTGGACTGACCTCAAAATGAATCCATTTGTAACGTTCGTATGGTATTTTAGAAAAATCGTCAGCGCTGAGTATCGGCATATTTGGATTCGAATGGATAATTGTACGACTTCCGTTAATTTCATTTAAAATGACCGATGAGAATGGTGCAATCGGTGTCGTATGATAAACACAATGATCGATCACGATGCCACGGTCACGACAATCTTCAATGAGAAACGAAAATGCCTTCGAATCACTGAGCGATCCAATGAATTCACATTCGGCACCAAATTGTCGCAATACGGTGCACATGTTCGATGCATTGCCTCCACGTTGCCAACGACCATTCAATGCCCTGAAAAAGAGACAATTACAAAACAAAACATAAAAAAAACATTGTTTACAAAGATTAAATTACTTGTTGCTTCAAATGTAATTTTCTTTTTGATTGCGTTTTGTCATCATTTTTTGCGTGAACAAAGTATATATGACCTTAGATCTTAGATAAAGATAGTATTGTTTTATGTAATAGAAAAATAACCTTCGATCAGAATCTTCTTCTGGATATTCTTGACAAACGTGAATTATATCTAAAACACAAATTCCAACGCACAAAATCAACTTATCATTTTGATTCATTTTTCACTTTGTGAGAAAAGACACACACAGCCGCTGTCACTAAGTTGCCGTCAAGCACTGTATGATGATCGGTGTTTACGTATGAACGGCTGTTATCAACTGTACATTTTGAAAGAGTGAAAGAGTCAACACTAGGTGACACAAGTGATTAAACAATCAGACACGTACAAAAAATAAACAGCACAATCCGATGCAAATCGTACACAAGTGTATGGGTGTGTCGTTGTCAACAACTTGTTGAAATAGTTGTTTAGTATAGTAAGATGTCGTGAGAGCCGGTATTGAGTGAATGGAATAGAGACGCAAAGAGAAAAACGAAAGTTGGAACCGAATGAAATACGAATATTTAACGTGTTTGTGAAAGATCGTCTATTTGACGGAAAAGCCACTTTTTCGGTTTTTTCGAAAGAAATTTGCAGAAAATCCAACAGAAGAACCATTCCGCTTGGGAAATTTTCCAATTTTAACAATTCTTGTTGATCTCGCTGTGAATTATTATCACATTGATAATAAGATTCGTGATTAGTACTGTCCCGTTGCGACATTCGCAATTGAATTCTCACCTTTAACATATACCGTGTGTAAGAAACGCAGAAAATGAAACGTGCCTAAAAGATGGCAAATGTAAACAACCGAAGCGAATAACAACAAAAAACAAGCGCAGAAAAAAAAACAGCTGATGAATTCATTCATTGAATGTGACACACTCATGCAATGAGTCGCTTGAACGGTCTCTGCTTTATCATTATTCTCTTGCTTGTCATTAAATTTAGCACGATTTGAGATTTTTAATCATACATACTGTTTTTGCAGTTTATTTTCAGTAGCAGTTCAAAGTCAATGCTTTATTCGATCGCCAAAATTTTAAGACTGATAATTAAAAGTTCTTGACAAGGGTTGACATGGCGGTAACTCGACATAGGGACTTGTTGACAATTCGTTTTTTCTTGAATTATTTTCGTTTTATCTTGAATTTCAACACACACTGAGAGTATAAAAGGCCAATGTAAACATATGAATTAAACATTGTTCTACCTGCACTGAAATGGTAACCAAGTATCAAGTGCTAAATTAAATATTTCAATGAATGCAGAGTGCATTGAATGTTAATGAGTTGTTGACTTAAAAAAAAATGACTTCAAATCGTTGCAAACGACATATGTAGATGAATATCAGAAATTATGTTACATGGAGATTATGTTTTGACACTCAAAAAAATACTTGTATTCAATTGAATCGCTAAATCGCTAAATAAATAAATAAAGAAAGAAAAACTGTTGAGAACAAATGCAGCGTTAATGAACACAGTTTTAATTACATTAATTAAGCAGTGTTGCAATTTAAAAGTCATGAGAATTAGCTGTAGAATAAAGAATCGCAACAAATTAAGCTTCTGTTTAATTTAATCAACACATTGAAATCTCGAAAACAATTTTGATTCATCGTAGAAGTGACATCAGAAGAGAAACGGGGGAAAAAAAAATGCAAGAAATCAAATTTTATTAATTGACAGTAGTAGCTGGTGCGGATATTACGCACCGATCTCAAATTTATTCGAAATCACCATACGGAACCACATTGAACTTGTACACTTAAAAAGACGATTATTATTTTGCACATTCATTTCATGCCCAAAAGGTGTTAAAAATCACCATATAATCGGAAGTTCTTTTTGTTTCTTCATGAATAAAAAGCAATTAAATTGATCTTACCGAATGAAACTTCAAGTCATTGACGCGCGCGCGAAGAGTTTTTTTTCGGCATAGTTTGATATGTTCTTGAACTCCGATCATTGTTTCCAAATTGATTTTTCAAATTGAAAACACCGAATTATTTCCCAGTTTAGTCCACGTCCAAACCATATGGTTGGCTCGATAAATTTGATTGTTCAACCAACACCAGTGCAATCTAAAGTGGTATTTCCAGTCTTTGATTGGCTACTTGTTGGGTAAACTTGAACTAGAATTTTATTTCAACAGAATTTTTACTGCACATAATGCTTGCTCAAAATTGCACTAAATTAAAGTTGAATAATAATAATTTTGCAAAATAAATGACTTACGTAGCACATTTGTCACACTACCATTCTGCCAATCGACTAACCATGGGAAATACCATACGGCAGCCTACGTTAATTCAACAGTTGTTACTATTATATGGCAATTGCAATGACTGAAAACGCGTTCTCCTTCTTTGAATCCCCACCGTGAGACGAACACGCAATAGCAATGAACAGAAAATTGCGTTTTGCAATCGCCACACACAATTTATCTCAGAGAGAATTTTTTAACCAGTTTATGTTCATATAGTCACGTTACCAGTTTGATTGTGTTCTTTCCAAAGTTAGTCTTATTTTCTGCGTAATTTTAGTTTATTTTCGGATTTTCAACACAATATGAACCTGCCGTTGAGTCGACACACGATCGTCATGTGAGTGAGTTCAGCTTTTATTACTGACAGATCTTTTTTTTGGACACAAATCTTGTTTGTGCACGGTGCTTTTGAATCTTGGGAATATTGTAAATGGTGCCAAGTGATTTGTTAATGGGAAATACATAGGTCCTCTTTTATATAAGTGGACATCGACTTTTTCTCCGGACAAAAATTTGATTCGAAACTGCGAAGAAAATAGTAGTTAAAAGTCGTGAAAAACTCTTAATAGTTAAAAGTCGCTACTCTATGCACAAAGATTACGAATGATACATTTGTTTATTGCACTAAATCGTGTGTATTCAAGCCTAAAATTCGTCGATTTGATTTATTGGAAATTTATCACTGTGAGAACGAATAAATCGCAGTTTGTTGAAAAAAATTCGAAAAAATGTCGACTTGAGAAGAAAATATAACGAAAATTAATTATTTTAAATTAAACAAAAACCTTCGAGGTTTTCATCCAAACGTGCGAAAAAAATTGAAAAAAAAAAAAAAAAATTACCCATTGAAAATTTTTGAATAAAAAATGGCAAAATCTGCACGATGTGACTCAACAGTGAAACATATGTGAATAAAAGTGTCGAATAATGCTCAAATTAGCGTGTTTTTGCACAAAATTCTCATTCTTTAAATTCCATTTTTTGTTTTCTTTCTTTCAAAAATTAGCATAAATTAGCGTAAAAATATCTTACTCTCTGTGGAATCACAACAAAAATCTACCGAAACTAAATATATCTCCTTTATTCTTTTGCATGTCTCTTCACCGTGCGCAGTTTCTTTTGGCTATGTATATCGAACATTTTGATAAATCTCATCCACCCGTACGAGATAAAATGCAGTCATGGTCATGACAATCAAAGTCTTACCTGTGTTTTCAACTACTTAGACGATAATAAGACGCTATTATCGGCTATGCCATCGGATTTTCGCCCTTATACAAAATACATCACTCAATTAACACTTGGAATTGCCAATTTAACGACGCTACCGAGCGACACATTCAATTTGTTGCCAAATTTGCGATCGTTGTCAGTGCGTTCTGATGTGCAAACGCTGACCCGTCGCCAATTAAGAAATGCAACAAAATTGACGTACCTAAATCTCGGCTACAATAATCGAATCGCCAAATTGGAGCGACGTCTCTTCAAATATGCTCCATTATTGGAATACATTGAATTGGGTTTCAATCTAATCACAGAAATCGAAGACAAGGCCTTCGGTGGTTTGACGAATTTAAAAATCTTAAATCTACAGGCAAATTCAATACCGCAAATTCGCAATAAAACGTTAAAAGGCACGAAAAATCTGCTGAAATTGGACTTATCTCGAAATGGCATCGGTGCAATTGAAGTCGGTGCATTAGTTCATATGTCCAAATTGCAAATGCTGCAATTGAATCAAAATCAAATTGCACGTTTGCAAACGGGTATTTTCAGTGGATTTCGAGCGATCGAACGCATTGATTTGTCGGTGAATATAATAAGCGTGATCGACGATGGAGTTTTTAATAAATTAACAACGCTAAAAACTTTGGAACTTGGATTCAATCAATTGGTAACGTTGCCCAACGGGGTTTTCGATGGCCTTCGAAATTTGAAGTCATTGTTTTTGGCTCGAAATCAAATTCAAGAACTTCCACTTGATTTGGGTAATTTAACAAAATTAACCGATCTGGATGCGTCGTATAATCCAATCGGACAAATTAATCCGGATGTTTTTAGCGAATTGACCAATTTGGAAAGCCTTGAAATTCGCGGCTGTGGCCTATCTGAATTGGATCCAAATACATTTATCAATCAAAAAATGCTACTATCACTTGATCTCTCTGAAAATAATTTGACCACCATCGATTGGAATACATTCGAACCGTTGGAACAATTGAAATTCTTGAAACTCGAAGCGAATCACATTGCTGAAATGGAAAATTACACTGATTTCAAATCATTTTTACCGAATTTAGAGTTTATCAATTTGTCACGAAATGAAATTGACTGTGATACGGTCATGGAAATTATGGATTATTTGAGAAATAATACCGTTGAATTTGATTTTGGCGAAGAGGTCGATGTTGGTTGCCGATTGTTGCCGGTGAGGAGCCGGAATATTCAAGCATTCAAATTGTCCAATGCTCAATTTAACGACGAAAGTCTACGATTGATCAACTTTTCTCAATAATAAAGTTTTAGTTTAAGATTAAAAATTTGCATTTTTCATTTTGAATTGACTTGCAGCCGCTTGCTTTTGTTTTTGTGAAACAAACTTGAAAGGTAATATAATGAGTGTGCAAAAATGGAATTAATGTAGACGTGAAACCTAGGGGCTTTTATCTTCAAATGTATACGATTTAAACTCTAAATAGTGAACTATATTGCAAAATCATCTGTAATACGCGCAAATAAATGTGCATAACTGCATATATTTGGTGTATATTTCGTGTATATTTCGTATATATTTCGTCTATGGCATGTTTTTTTGTTCTCTTTTGTGCGGATCTTCTTCGATTCTGTGTAGCAATACTGTGTGTGTGTGTACACTGCAGTTTAAAATACACCTTATTCACTGGTATAGGCGAGAAATTTTAATCGTATATATGATGAATAGGACGTGAATATTGTGTATAAATTTGTATGAACGAATGATGAAAGCCCCTAGCGTGAAACCTATCCGTTTTTGGTTGGTATTTGATCTTACTTTTGGCAGTATCATCGGGTCTTTGTTACTTTGAGTGTTTTTGGCTCTTTGAGCAGTCGGTCCAGATTCAAAAGTTCAAAGGTAAGTAAACTCCTTCGATCGAGTGGTTTATTGTGACAAGGTTGATGTGTTGGAATGTTCATTGTTTTCAAGCGAACAATTCGTACGAGATTGTGTGAATTGGATTAGCGCCGATTGCATTGCCATTTTTGGGTATGAAACGTGCAGCAAAAGACACTGAACCATAAGGAGGCTACATTGCAGAAACACTGAAGCCGGTTCTTTATTCTAATATAATCATAATTGTCTGACTTTTAAACTGGTTTTGCATTTCATTCATACTCAGTCATAGAATTCATCGCAAAAAAGGAACACGATAAATTGTTCACCGCTTAAATGCCATCGAAAGTTTTTTCAACTCATAAAATCGCATGCAAATGGGTTTTTTCTGATGGTAGTCGCAACAAGCATACAATAAATCAAAAGACTTTATTCGTCATGAGTTGTTGAAGCGACAGAGCCGCATTTGAATCCAATTTAATTTTATGCATGCTTCTGTATGAATTCAAAATGAAAAGTGCTTTTTGAGAGAATGCAATGATTCTTCAATGGTAAAACACAGAATGTGGTTTGGTAATATAATAATAAATTAAGAAAAAGAATTTATAGCACAGACTTCAGTGATCTGAAGGTGATTGAAGCTTTTATTGAAAATCTACTTCAAATATTCGAAAATTTCATGAAGTTCTCTGCAGCAAACAAGTTATTTTACCTGTTTATTAGCATTTGGAATCGTGTCAAGGTCAATGTACCGGACAAAGAGGACTAGAAATAACTTTCCCACACTGGGGGTGCAGAAAAGTAAAACAAGAACGTATTTTTCGTGAGAATTTAACACAAAATATCGGGTCTTCTGATCAAAAAACCCTCAAATAATGAAAAAAAAGATCTCCTCGTCAAACTTTTCGATATAAATGTCTCTTTTTCAGTTCCGAAATCGGTTCAATTATCAATGAATTTCTTTTCAAACGTCTCCTGGTGTTATTGCAAGAAGAAGATTGAATAGAGTAGCTCAATTGGAGCCTGTAGAACTTGAACCGCTTTCAGTTGAAAATAGACCACAATTTAACACTCAACACTTGAATTAAGTATTATACTGTTCAAATGAAGACAGGCTTGACATGATTTAATTTATAAAATAATTGAATCGTCACCAAAGATCGATGCTTGTTTCCTCAGCAGAGTTCTTTCTGTTTCCAAACATCTTTTTTCACAGCGTTTCCAAAAGACCGACTAAATAAATTTGAAAAAAAAACGACTTGTCGGCATTTTAATTGAATCGATTTGAACAGAAACAAGTTTATTTCAATGCAATTTACCGCTAAATTAATAAGTTTTTTTTGTGACTAAAATTGACCTCTTTGTTTTTCTTTACAAATTGGAATGAAATGTGTGAGAAAAATAAAGTGTCTTTTTGTCGCAATCAAACCGAAATAAATGCATGAAATTCTCTCAAATTATTTCGATAAGCAATGTGTGAAAAGGAACCAGTGTGTGCATATACAAAAAAAAACGTGTGCTGATACCATGTGTGGCAAGTTTCCTTGGAACACATTTCATTAAAATCGTGCAAATTATGAATTGTTTCTTTTGCTCTAGTTTTGCATCAATGCAAATACATCTTACAACCTTTTTATATATATATAACACTATGTTATATGTTGTCTTTGTGTTTCTTGTGAATTGACTTTTTTCCGAATCTCCTTGAACGAGAAATAAAAAGACATTTAAGGCTGCATACATACACACACACATACAAAATATGAAATAAGTAAATTTGCTTGTGCAGTCAATACATTTACCATCAGCGTGCAGCGTGCTTTTGATCGCATTCGAGTAGTTGGTCGACTTTAGTTCATAAAATAGTTTAAGTTATTTTGCTGTCAAGATTTATGAGTGAGAAAAACTGAACGTTAGATTCAAATTTCGATGTAAAAATACCAGTTCCACCAATCATGTAATCAAGTTTACTCACTTCATATTCAGTGTGTAGCGCACGACAAGAAGATATTTTAAAAATGAAAAACGAGTTTTTTTTTTCATATGAGCCCAACGCTGTTTTTGTTTGGTTCAGAAATGCACTATATTATTGCGTCATTTCACGGTGCATTTTGTTAATTGGTTGCACGTGCAGAATGCATTTTTCTTACATAATGAATACTTCACACTATTGGTGTGTGAGGTGAAAAAAACAGTGCACATATTACTGACGTAATGAATGCTGAATTGTCCAAGCTCGATATACTTACTTGAAATCTACAGTGAACGGATAAAAGAATTTGAAAGCATACAACTATCGCGTGGTATATATTTTTCTTCATTGACTTGATTTGTTGACTAGAATTGCATGATTTGCATGGCGGAATTAAATATGGACAACTTCATATCAATTGATTGCATCTTCAAGACAATCAATATAATATGCGCCAATAGTGACAGTGACAGAACGACTATTCATTGTGCACTGTCGAAGGGAACGAGGTACACGTATACGGGCACATTTCATACAAACTGAATTTCCAAACGATTTCTATAAATAAATAAGACTTAAAGGTGTGTTTTGTGAATATTTTCATTTTGAACACATCAAATTTTATTATTTACACTAAAATTTATCGACTGAATTGAGTTTAAAATAAAATAGTGGATAAAAAATATAATAAGATTTCATAACCTCACATTTATAGTGAGAAAATATTGTTGTTTTTTGGCTTCGCGTCACGTTCACGATAGATTTTGTGTGTTTTTTCAGCAAAATAATTAGTATCAATTAGTGTTCCGCTTTGCCGGTGTATTCAAAAATCTCAATCCAATTCTTGTTTTTCAGGATCTGACAGCAAAAGTCAGCATGAATCCTTATTCAGTCAATGGTGCTTTGAATCGAGAGAAGAAGCAGAAGTGCAAAGACTGTAAGCACAAGCAAACTGTAGTCGTAGTAAAGCGAGAGGTCAAGGAGGAGCCAAAAGATGGCGTGGAAATGATTCAATATTCGTCACCGCCGTCACCAGTCGCACCATCGATTGTCAATATCAAATCAGAAAGTGAGAGTGACGATGAACTCGTTGATGTGAAAAAGGAGATCAAATGTGAAGGTGAATGTTGGAAGAAAGATTACGACATCGCAAAGAAAGGTGGGGAGGAGGATGAAAATGAAAGCGGCGGTCAAATTGGTGAAAATCAAAACGCTCTAAGGAAAAACTCAAACATCAATCGCAAACGATGTATGCGTGAAAAGAAGAAGGCACGAAAAGGCAGATCTTCGAAACAATCAGCAGCAAAGGGACCGAAGAAACACAAATGTCATTTGTGCAATTATGCTTCATCTAACAAACCAAATGTTACAAGACATATTCGGACGCACACTGGCAAGACGCCCTTTGAATGTGAAATATGCGCCAAAACTTTTTCAGACAAAAGCAATTTGAATAGACACCAGAAAATCCATGGTGGCATTAAGCCATTCGCATGTCATGTTTGTTCCAGCGCATTTGTAACCAAACAGAATCTAAACAAGCATTTTCGGACTCATGTCAAACAACTGTCGTTTGCCTGCCTGAAATGTGGTCATCGATTCGCTCAAGAAAATGAAAAACAATTGCATGAGGATCGATGCAAATGCCGACGATTCCAATGCTATCTCTGTCCACATCAATGTTTTTGCAAAACCAATTTGAAGCACCATATGCAAGCAAAACACTTGGGCGAAAAACCATTCCAATGTGGTGTTTGTGAAAAGGAATTTTCTCAGAAGAGCAATCTTAAGAAACATTTGGCTACACATGCCAAACAACTTTCGTTTCGTTGTGCCAAATGTTATCGACCGTTTGCACAAGAAGACGACAAGAAAGCACACGAAAAACGCTGCAATCGTCGCCTGCATCAGTGCTACTTGTGTAAAGTTTCAATGGTTCAGTCACATCAATTAAAGCTGCACATGAGAAACCATCATACGGGTGACAAGCCATTTCCGTGCAAACTATGTGACACACGATTTGCAATGCAAGGTGGTGCTAAACACCACATGAAAACCGTTCATCGTCAGATGGAATATAGTAACTGAATATTCTCATCTGAAAACTTTCAAATCACAATATATTGATCATAACTCTTTTGGCATCTTTTCTTCTTCTCCATAACATTGAAATCACAGAATAACGAGCAGTTTAATTCATGTACTATTGCTTCAATTACAAAATAACAATACAAATAGAAATAGAGATAAATCAGAACTCCAAAAACCGCACAAAACATAAAATAAGAGTATTGAAATGAACATTTTATTTGTTACCTTTTCAATTTTGTAAATGAATTTGAATTGATGAATCTAGTCTACAGATGTTATCATTTAATTTTATTTTAAAAGAAATATTCCATTTGCAGAATATCCAGCTTCATCAAGAAGTTACTTAAAGCGTTAATAACAGTTTTCATCAGAATCTGATGCCATGAGATTAAAAACAGCCTTTCCTTCGAATTTGAAATGATTTTATTGATTCGATATTTAGAATTTATATAAACGTCGCCATGATTTTGCTTCCGAGCTTCAGTTGACTGAAATATATTTGTTTGGGTTTTCAAGAACACTATAAGTATGAACATCATACTATGAAGTATCGAAAAATTGCTTTGTTGTGAATATAGTAATTTGTGCAAACGATAATAATTGTTATGAATACAAATGTTATCCAGCATTATGACATTTTGAAATCTTTGCTCTTAACTATAACAAAAGCGAACCTTTAAAGGCCATCTAAGACTGGACTGAACAAATCATCCAAGTATTGATCAACGTCTGAGAATTGATCCACGTTTGATGGTACACGAACGCGGCGCACGTGACTTGCAAGCGATGGAGCTTCACTTGTGTCTGCAAAACAAAAGAGTATGTTATTAGAGAAAACCGCCAAATATCGGACTTTGATCCATCTTCAACTTACCCGACATGGCCGATTATTCGGTCGCATAATCGGTTCGTTCCATATACTTATTGGAATGTCCGGCCGATCGTCTGCCTGCATTCTTCAATTTATCGCAACTAGTCGATATGATGTCGATTGGTACGTTGATGTTCATTGTTCATTCTGCGTCACATTTTTGTATTGAAATTGTTTAATTTTCAAATTAGCAAACACAACATTCTCTACCGAAATAACTTGATTTAATTGTGATACAGCATTGTTTTGACGTTTGAAATGTCAGAATGTATTGGCAACAGTTTTTTCATTAGCAATCGGTAGTGGACAAATACAAAGCACATTTTCGAGATCAATCTAATCAAATCAATGTAATCAAATCTAATTAATTCCGATTGAAATATCATTCTCAATTAAAAATAGAATGTCTTACATCCGTAAGATGAACTTTTCCGCACTTTGATCCACAACATGCATTTATTACGTATCTTTTACCGTAAATATGAATTCATGAGAAAACTGAATCTGATATCTGTTTTGCGATAAAAATAATTTTTGATATACTTTTCAATGCTTGTATGAAATCGTAATCATGTGAAAATTTGCAGAGGTCATTTATTTCACAAAAAGTTAACATTCTGAAAATTTGAAGAAATTTCAATGCATATTAAGGGTACTTCCCATACAAAATTTCGTTTTTGAGCAAAAAAACCAATGTTTGGGAGGTAATGTCTCATCCGAAATATACGGCGATCGCTTTATGCCTAGCAAATGTCATACACAACGTACACATGAAACGTCATTGCACTGCTGTTAGAATTTACACAAGTGTGTATTACTGCGGATTAATATGGATTACTACTCACAACATAGAATTACTTTAAACAAAAATTATTATGCTAGTACTGCTCTGCCCCTAGGCTCAGAACGGGAGATTGTACGAGTTCCAAATTATATCAAATCATTTTTGAAACGTTCAGCAATTTGCACACCTTTGATTTGTCATTTTTTGGCGTTGAGCGGCTTTCGGACGTTGTACTGAAATTGAATCACTTGAAAATACTGAATGCATCGCACAACCAATTAATCAAAGTCAAAGCAGCGAACTTCATGCACATGAGAGAGATCGCTTACATCGATTTGGCATGCAATAAAATATACAGCGTGGAATATGGAACCTTTTCGACACTTCGTAAATTGAAGACATTGGATTTGAGCCACAATTTCATTGAAACAATTGAAAATGGTATGTTTCGGAGTAATAGCAAATTGAGTGTCGTGAATTTGGAGAATAACCCATTTAAACGGGTCGATGTCAATGTTTTTATGCTTTTGAAGAGATCGACAGTGGTGAATGTTTTGTGGAATAATGTGGTCGAAATCAAGACAAGTTCTTTGAAGAAGTCGATGCGAATTGAATTGAACGGATCCAACGAAATTATATTTCGATTGGCAAGTGGTGGTTCCACGTTAAGATGTCCGAAAGATGTGTTTAAACGCTTGACTTACTTGAATATCTCCGGCAATCAGTTGGAAAACACAAGAAATGTCATTGAATTATTGAGTTCTGTCATTGAAACTTTGGATTTGTCCGGAAATATTTTGGAAAAATTCGACTGGGAACTCATTAAACGGTTTGACAGTTTGGAAAATTTGAATTTGAGCCACATGAACTTGGCACATATTGACATTGGTGACACGCTTCAACATTTGAAGAAACTAAAGATTCTTGATTTGTCCCACAATCGATTGCAGAGTTTCAACTTTGAGCCAGTGGTCTTCAATGAGTTACGTACACTCAAGGTAGAAGACAATCAATTAAACGTCCTTGAAGGGGTCACTCAATGGAATTTTCCGAAATTGACGACTGACTCAAATTACATGCGAATATTTTATGGATTTCATGGGAAAGTGCCACTTTCAAAGTGGCTAAGTTTACAGTTGACTGATGATTCATCAAAACAACGCAACGGAATTAATTGTAATAAACAGGCGAATGAGGAGAAAAATACCAAAAATGTTAATAATGTCAAAGAAAGTGAAGAAGAAACAACTGATAGAGCAAAACAAACTTATCAAACGGAGATAATCGATCCAAACTCCGAAATTGATTCAATGGCTGCAACCGAAGTGTATGAAATAGAGAACGGAGTAACGATAAAAATTGGAGGCAAAACAGAAACCATTGAATTGAATGCAGAAGAAACGACGCAAATAATGGAAACCACAACTGATATCGACATCACTTCGAACGACAAGAACGCAGAGAGTTTTACTTTGGAAATCCAAAGTGCATCCGCTTTCACTGAAATCACAACAACAAAGGCCGATAAAAACACACCAAAAACGGATGCGACACTGGGCATAGGCGGGGAACCGACAATAAATATATTGATCATAAATGAGATACATCGTATCGATATCAGTAGACTAACGCCGACCTCGGCATCGAGGTATTTACATAAAGTGCCCAAGTCACGAGTACTAAAGTATTTTCTGGCAATATTCTTGGTGATAAGCATCGTATATGTGATGGTGAAACTGAAATGGATTCGACGATTCAAAAGAAACTTGAAAAGTCAATCGAGAAACAATCACATTCCGTATCAATTGGATCAGTTGGGAAATAGCTCAAACACAGTTGAATTAATTGATCATTTAGATTTTAGACAGTTTAGTAGAAATGCTCAAAGCACTTGAGAAGACGTTTCAGATTTAAGATTGTAAAATAAAGTTTAAGAAATGGAAAATATAAGATATTTCTTGATGTATATCAAGCTTTAAAATCGTTTCGTTTTTTTGGATGTTTATGACATAATTATAACTCAAGCAATGTTGTAGCTATCAACATAAAACCCATCTCAGGAAGTTTTTTGCTTGATTGAACTTGAAAACAGGATCAAAAGGTATTGGAGAAGCGTATATAGAGAAATTTGCCAGTTGGTAACATGTTATTTTCTAAAATAAGTTTGTCCGACAAACGGATTCGTTCATTATTCATTGTTCGTTTGGCGTTTATGCCACGTATCTATTTTTTTTTGTATGAAATAATCTTTGGATGAAGAAATGTAAATGAGAGCATATTTTTATTCGTTTGTTCGATTGAAGCTGAAGAGATTAATCAGCAGTAGATTATGGGATGAAGAAAAAGCACACTCTCTTTTATGTCTCACTCGTAGAAATATGGTTTAGGAGATTACATTGTTGTATGCAATTCGATAAATGGCACAATCAACTTCCTGAGCTTACAGGAGCACATGAACTTTGATATTTTGGATTAAGCTCTTATCTTTTACTCTTTGGAATTGAGTTTTAATGAAGCTAAGAAATTTATAGCGAAACATTGATAAGTATTATAGCTGTTGTGGCTATGGGAGAAGTATTGTGGCGTTGAAAGTTTTTTTTATTTACACAAATTGGTTGTGTAAAAGCAATTGTAGATTACTCAAGGAAACGAAGTTTAGAACAGGAAATTGCAACATTGTAAATCTTATTTATATTTAGTAATTGAGTGCAAACGTGTGCCTGGCACATTTGATAAATGTATTTTCTTTGTTGAATGCCTGCCGGATATATGCAGTTTTGGATCACAGCTCAGTGATCAGTTCAGTGAGTTCTGTTAAACAGCTTACACAGTTATAAGATACTTTAAGAAAATCAAGTAAAATGATGGAAAAAATGATTTGTGTTTTGTTATTATTATTATTGAGCTTGAATTTTCTTATGATTACAGCAGAAATCACAAGCTGTATTAACTCATATTATAATGGATATTCATATTATTTTGTGGAATTGCATTGCAACGTAAAAAATATTGATGACAATGTTGATGAATATCTTGTTGAAAATGTCGATTGTGCTAATTATCATAACCGTTACTCACGTTCGTGTGAATGTTATAGATATATTTTTGATAATGGATACAATTCCCATGTAAGGATATTGAAACCTTGTTCAGGAAGTCGGTTGGATGAAATAATTCCCGCCAAATTCTATAATGTGAAAATATACAATATTTCACAAAAAGAAATTGAAATTTTAACTTCAGATGACTTGAAATTTTCATCATTACATACTTTGTATGCATCACACAATAAATTGACCAACATTTCGGGATCTATTTTTGCTCTCGCCCCAAACTTGATGAATATTGATTTCTCTGGCAACAACATCACTAAACTTTGTCAAAATGACTTCAAAGGAGCATCAAAACTCTCAATAATTAACTTCTCGCATAACAACATATCCATGATTGAAGAGCAATTATTTGATAGTAATCCTGAATTAACCACAATTGATGTCTCCTACAACAACATCAACGAACTACGTCAAAATGTCTTTAAAGAAGCGACATTATTGGATACTGTGAATTTGTCGCACAACAAGATATCCACAATTAAGGATGGATTGTTTATTAATACACCGAATATTAATAAAATTGACATGTCATACAATAAAATCGATGCATTGCACAAATATTACTTCAAAGGACTATCAAAACTGCGGCAAATCAACTTATCGCACAACAATATATCCATGCTGGAGAAGGAATTATTTGATATTGCTCCTGAATTAATCACAATTGATATCTCCAACAACAACATCAACGAACTACTTCAAAATGTCTTTAAAGGAGCAACACAATTGACGATTTTAAACTTATCATATAATAAAATATCCAGTGTGGAGAAGGAAACATTTTGGGAACTAAATGAATTAATCACTTTGGATATGAGAAATAATTTTATTGAAACTATCAGTAGATATACGTTTCGATCCAATCAGAAACTGCAAACATTACACCTGGATAATAATCCAATCAAACGATTCAGTTACAACGTAATAGGTGATTATACAACAGTATATCTTTTATGGGAAAAAGTCGAAGAATTCGACATAAGTGGCATGACACAAAGTGATCCAATTGAAGTTAAAATAGAGAACGATTACATAGTTTTTAGCCGCAATTATAATTATAACACCATGGAATTCACAGGAAATGCCGAAAATATAACTTACTTCAACGTTTCAAACAATAAAATACGAAACATGGGAAGAGAATTTTCAAAACTGAGTGCCAAATTGGAGACGTTGGATGCTTCATTAAATTTTTTTCCTGAATTAAACGCTGATATATTTCGCAAAGTTATCAAACTAAAACATCTTTACTTAAGTCAAGCATCGATTTTAAATGTGAATGCAAACACATTTTCCAAACTTGGTGAACTAATCACATTGGATTTGAGCTTCAACTTGATTACAACATTGAATGAAGACTTGTTTGAAAATAACAAAAAATTGAAAAGTTTGTATTTGGAGAATAATCCACTGAGGCGCGTCGATTGCAATATTTTCATACCAATAATGAACAAAGCTGTAGTAAATTTTACTTGGGCTAATGTCACTGAGTTCAGTACAAGTTGCTTCAAAAATTCAGTCGAATTTGATTTGGATCAAAGAGACGAACTAATTGTTCGTATGCCACAAAAGAGCTTCGAATTTCCTATAGGCAAGGAAAAGTTCCAAAAGCTTACTTTCTTGAATATTTCTGAAAATCAATTGAAAAACGCTCCAAAAATCATCGATTTTGTGGGAGCATCAATCAAAACACTCGATCTCTCATCAAATTTCATTGGACCAATTATAGCCGAGACATTCGAAAGATTCGAAAATTTGGTGTATCTCAATTTAAGCCACACAAATTTATCGAATTTCGATTTCAGCACTTTCTATCATCAAATGAATTTGGAAGTTCTCGATTTGTCCTTTAATCGTCTGCAGAAAGTCAATTTCACTTTATTGTACAGAAACTTCTTAAGTTTAGAAACACTTCGTTTGGAAGGAAATGAATTGACTGAGATAAATAGTGTGAATCGAGCGATTTTCCCGAAGCTATCTGCTTTGGGCATTTCAAAAAATTATTTCTCTTGTGATTATTTGGCAACGTTTCTACCACCATGGCACGATAAAGTAAAATTAATCATTTATCCAACGAACAAAACAAATATCGAAAAAGTCGATTGTCATCACGGACAGAAATCAAATACCAATATTGAAGTTACAACAATGTCAACAACAAGCAAAAGGCTAACGTCTACAATGCCTGGAGTTATAACTGAAAAATCAAATTTAACAACAATCGATTTAAACGAAGAGTCAACAGAAATGGAAAATAGATCGATTATACGTGTTGATTGCGATGTCTTTTCGTCGAAGAACAAATCGGAAACAGGGCAAGTTTTCTGCGACCATATCGAAGAAATTGACACGAGTTGCATGGGAAGTGCATTACAAATCAACGTGAACAGCGATGATGAAATAGTCATTCCATTATCGCAAAGTAATT